TTATCACAACCAGATAAAATCCACTTGTTCCTTTTATGAAAAACGCTTTCTTATTTCAGAACTTTTATTCATTCATCCACTGATTCCTTCATTTGCTCTACTGCCCAAACCTTCATTGATTCCCACACTAATTCAGTCACCATTTATTAAGCCCCTCGTAAAGAGTTTCCACATCCAGAGCTTTTTGAATGAAGGATTCAGCAGATGTCCTTCAATAAGAGCTCTGTGATGTCACCACAAACTGGGGTTGGAGTGGATTCTACAAGGAAGGATGCAGAGACACATGCCCACTCTCAGAAGTGCCTGGTCTACATTATGAACCACCAGCACTCTAATGAAAAAGAGAGAAAAGTTTAAAAGTGTCAGCAACACACTGAAAGTATGTAGAGAGGCCACACAAGCAAACACAGATGCCCAGGATGACGTGGCACTGGGTCATGTCCTTGTGACTGGCATGTGGACTCAGACACGTCAGCATTTTGCACTGACGATAACATGAACACTTAAAGTAGAGATTAGTATTCTAAATGCCTAACATTGACAGAACCACCTGACTTTCCCCTCACTTCTAGAAGCAAAAGACTGCTATTTCTTATGTAAAGAGATTAAGAATTTGGAAGCAATGAGGCTCCAATTATTTTCTATATTTTATCAAGCAGGATCATCTCAACTCATGGAGAGAGGAATTCCTTAGATATGACTGCCTCTCAAATGTGATGTGAGAAGCCACATCTTCCACCCATAACCATATGTTTTAATAAATAACCTCTCTCACGCAGTAACGCACATGGAGCAACCCAGCGCACCTCTCCCAGCCATGCTCTGCCTCATTAAGAACCAACCTACACCTGAGTCTACTAAACAATTGGTACAATCGCTGTAAGTCATTTAGTGCATTTAAATAAGGCAACCCTTATTTACTTTAGGAGTTAAAGAAACATTTCTCCAAAATCTTTCAACTTGATGGAAGTAAGCTCATTTCTTATATTATTACATTTTATATATTTTTGGAAAATACAGGCACAATTATGTACAAAATTATGCATGAAAATATACAGAAAGTAAATAGAACAAACCAGTATTATTTTATAGGTTTATTATAATGCTGAAACTAACCTATTTTTCTTCTTGCTTATCTGTATTTTGTATTTTTCTATGATGATTAGTATTCTAATTTTAGAAAAGATACTTTAAAAAATTTTTAAAACACTTTCTGAATGTTCCAATAGCACTTTCTCATCTCAATTTCCATTTTTGTGCTCTCAAAAATATTACAAGTTCTGAGAGCACTAAGGGCTAAGGAAATTAGGCCTACTTTCCTCTTGAAAAATTAAATAATTTGATAAATTATAAAATTCTGTATGAAGGTTAGCCATTATTATGTAATGATTAAAAATTAACATTGACTGTTTCTTACATGCTAGGTACTAGGCAAAGCATTTTATATAAATTATCTCATTTAATATTTTTAAAAGAGTTATGTGTGATTG